AAAAGGATTCTTGGTTGTTTACTTCAACAATCAACAAGGTATGTATTCATACTTATGAATTCAGATTTTAATAGGAAAATTTTGTAGTTTGATAGTTCATAGTATGTTTCCTTTATATGAAAGACATAGATCCTTCTTAGGTTGCATGTGCCCTAATCATTTAATTGTTTAATGTTTTTCCACTTAGTGCAATGTTTTTTGTAACCTACGTTTTCCATCAGATATGAAGTCTCTGGCTTGGCGTTGTAAAGATGCTCCAGTCTCGAAATTCAGGATCCTAGGCTGTAAGATTGAAGATGGAGTTGGCGTAGTTTCCACAGGTATTCTCAAACTCAAGCACGATGCTTCTATTCGATCAAATAACATCTTGTTGGTTTCACTTTGCTCAGTGATATGTTGATCCATTCTATCATCATGGATATGATCTCATTGTTCGAAACCATAATTGGTATTTCTTGAGTTGCACTTCCTGAGTACTGGACTGATAAGGATGTTGGGACTGTCCTCCTAAGGATCTCAACATTCTTTCTTTGCAAGTAACTGCAGGAGGCGGGGGTAGGCTCTGACTAGCAGAGATGGATGGAATAGTGCTAAAAATGGATTTTGGTAAAGAAGACATTTTTGGTGCAAAGATGTGCAAGTGATTGAAAATCTAAAAAAAAATCGAGTAACTTTTAAGGGGAAAATATAATAGCACCACTTGTCCTACATATGACGCCTTTTGGTAAAAAATTAACAAACAATTTCATAACCAAATTAGTAAGTGTGACGTGATGTTGGAAATAAGATGTTAAAAGCAAGAGTGCTAAAGATATTAAAATATGCCTAAGATCTTGGTCATGTTCAAGATCCTAGGAAGAAAGTAGTTATCTTCAAAAAACTGTTTAATGAAATCGATTTGTTTTAAAGTATAAACAAGTGTTTTTGAAATATTTGGGACAAAAATAGTGTTAAAATGGTTAATAAGTGACTTTGCGTAAGAAAGTTGTAAGAGACTCAAAAAGAAATCAAGATACCACAAAATATATTGATAAGTTGATATGAAAACAGATAAACAATCAAATAAGCATGTAAAAAATGTTGTAATCGATTAAACAATCATAAATGAGTAAAATCAAAGCAAGAACATAATGATGTACGAGGAAAACCCTTAACCCTTTTGGATCTCCGACATAAAACCTCGCTAGGTGATGAATTCACATACCTTAGAACTTATATTAAATCGTGAATAAAAATTACAGGTGTTAGCTGATCTTAGAAAGAATGTGATTATGCTCAAATGTCGAAAGAATCAGAGAAGAAGAAGAAGTGGAAGTGTTTGTGTGTGCATCGATCAACTAGTCTTTTATACATAACAAAAATAACTAAAACTCCGACATTTTTGGGATTCTCTTTGATCTTTGCTTGACTTGGATTTCACAAGAGTCTTCAACGTTCATGAGGTATTGACCACTTGTAGTTGACTTGGTCTTATTCCTTTTTCATCACGCCTTAATTCCCTGCATAAAATATCACAAGAAATATGGTGACAGACCAAGATACCGAATAAATCCAAGATCAGGCTTTCCTAGGATATTTGTTCAAGTTCAAGATATAAATGGTAAGTCAAAATTTCTACCCACAACAATATGCAAAGTGGAATAAACATTGTGTTGACAATCTATATATAACTAACATGGCCAAAACTAACAAAACGAACACTGAAAATAACTTTGTAAATAACAAACTCTACACTAATAAAAACTTTATAGACAAAGTACCCCAGTTAATTGAGCTTCTGATTGGTTAATCTTGTATTTAACATGAGCAAATTTAGATCTAATCTGAGAAAGATATGGGTCCAATCTAGGTCACAGTCACCATGAAAACAATTTCTAGTTTATAGAACATGGAATGGGTGATATGATGGTGTTATCAAAGGAACAACCAAAAAAGTGACTTTTTTTTGTTGTTTAAGACATTTTTTTCTAAACATCAAAATTTGTTGACTGCTTTGATCTATTTGTTCCCCTCAGATAGACCCAAGACATTGAAAACCCCTTTTCACTTATGGGTGCCCCGATGACATGAATTTTTCGTGCATAAGTATGATGTTCTATGACCGGGCCTTCAGTTGTTAAGAGAATCTCAAAGTGTTTTTATACATTAGGGTTACATTTGTATAAGAGCTCTATTTATAAAAAAAAAAGTTGATTTAAAAACTGGTGTGAGTCAGGACTAAGAAAACAATGTTTAACAGCTGGCCTGTTTGCTCGAGTACTGCAACCTTACACCATAGCCATACACCAAATTCGTACATTGCACCCATACATTTTATCCATACACCACAACCATATACTGCAACCATACATTATAGTGGCTTTGTCGAGACACCCAAATTGTAGTGTCGAGACCCTACAACCTTCCTAAATGAGAGATCCAAAGCACATACCGTAACAAGCATGACCTTGAACTTTTCCCTTGCAGTCTACCCTTGCGACCACTCCACAACAACCCCTGTAGTTGTGGTCATACTCCATAGCTCTAGAATTTGATGCCAAAACTGATATATGAACGGGAACCATATTTAGTTTCCGTAGCGACGATAAGGTCATAGAAAAATATTAGGCTCCACAACTGAATAACACCATAACCAAAGGTCGAGTCAGAGTGACTTCATATGCCACATAAAAGCTCGATATCATACATCTTAAGGTTTGGGTGTCTTGTTGATAAGGGTAGACTATAATCCTCCGACTAATTGATGAAGGGAGATAGCAATATTTGTTGGTATTATGATAAGGGGTGGATCATTAAGCACAAGTATTCCCGTAACCACCCCGCCCAATTGTGTCGACATCGATGTTTGAAGGGTGATCCATATGTTCCCTTGGTTTTGGGGTGTATATTCGATATTATGGTCTAAGTTGAACCTACCAGTTGTTCAGCTCGGAACACTGCCATTTCATTATTGTTTTTTTTTTGTTTGTATATATTATTTTTAAACACATGATAATTGATATAAGTCTAGAGCTCGTCCACTTTGGGTCCTCTACTGTTGGGAGGGTCAATCTCGTTGAATGGGGTGCCAAAGTAGCCACTATGATTCAAGAGTTGAAGGACATATTGTTAGAGTGGTCACTCCGGAGGTCGCAATATGTGAGAACGCACCAAAATAGGGCATGGAGTGAATATGGATAGACTTGTTACTCCTTCCAACATTACATGCCATTTCTAAGGCTTTACTTATGTGTGTGACTGCAGTTCTCGTTGCAGGTCCCATGGATAGTACCAAATGATGTTAATTACGTTGGTCCAGTTAACTCAATCAAAGCTAGTATCACTGAAAGTAAGGAACTTAATCGTACCTTACCTTGGGGTTTGAACTCAAAATTACATTCCAGCGCTTAAGTTAGTTTGTTGGTCGAGGTGGCCAGTACAATAGAGATGACGTGTAGGGTTCATAATGATCTTACTAAGTGTGGTTTTATGGGGGATGTGATCATACCAACCGTGTCACTATCAAGGTAAAACGTAGTCGCATGCTAATGGTACCTGTTGAAAAGTGGGCCCAACACGATCCAATGTTGGTTGGAGGCATTCATGGGAAAAAGTTGTTGTGAATTTCTAAACACTAGCTTTTATGAATGCCCCGGACTATTTAGAAGCGGGGTGCAAAATTGGGATCAGCCCAAATGATGGGGTCCACCACTACTTTCCTTGAACATCCAACGCAAAGCAATCATAGAAGCTGTGAACTTGATGTGGGTTTCCACAATCAAATTACATATTCATCAACAGAGAATATAAGAACGGACTTATCACTAGTTATTTCCATTTTGGAATAGAATAAAAGAACAGTAGGAATGTGCATCTGTCAAACCAAGTGAAAGTGGACAATTCCTTTTTTGGTTGTGTGGGGACAATATGAACAACCTTTTATTTTTATCTTCTACTCCAGCTTCTTACATGCAGTTGCCATTAACCCATAACGTACAAACCAATCAAATTGGTTTGGTGGGTGCACCCACTACCCACTACCCACTGCCCTTACGCCTTATCTCCATGGACCATCTTCACTCGTCTAAAGTCGAGCATCACTTGATATACATATATACACTCTGTTGGGGCCAAAACGAAACCACACTCTCACTCTAAATCCCACTTAATCCATCTAGGGTTTCATTTAAATCACTCAACCAGTTGGAAAATATAATTAAGACTTGATGTGTAAGACGAAAATATTGTTCAAGAACGAAGGAGGCAAAAGGAAAAAAAAAAAAAAAAGTGTGGTATTTTGATTTGATAGAAGAAGAGATAAATGGGGTGGCCCACCATCACCCTCCCTCCTTCCTTCCTTACTGCTGTACAACCACACTTGTGTAGTAATTTAATAACAGTGCTTGCTATTTATTAAACTCAACCAATTATTGATGAGTTTAAACACAACATATATTTCTTAACCCAAAAATAATATAATATTATATGAGTGATGATTTGTTTAGGAGGCTTTTATTAATTTTGGTAGGTTTCCTCTCTTAAAATCCAAAATTATGTCTAAAAAGCTTAATTTTTTTTTTTGTTTGAAAAAGAACACACCTAATCAAAGAAAATATTATAGTCTTCATACCAATTAACACAAAACTATAAAAATCAAGGGGACATATGACAGAATTGGTCCCTAAAATCTCGATAATCATTTTGACAAAGCATGTTGCAAGTCAACACTTTTTTTTTCTGTGAATTGATTGTAGGTTCGTAAGTCTTTTCGATACAAAAATTATTAATGTTTCAAGTTGTATTTTTTATACGCATCCTAATGAATCAATCAGCTTTATTTTTTGTTTCTTGTCATATCATATGTTATTGAAGAAATATTTATGCATTTTAAGCGTGTCTCTTTAAGAAAGTCAAGAAATACAAAATGAAGCCCTAATTTTTATAAAATAAAATAAAAAGGTAGAATTGTAAAGGGGTCGTAGGTGATAATAGGTCTGGCAAAAGATAAAGAAATATTTTCAGACAAGACAGAGAGGCAGCACGCGAGCGACTGGGTATGGATGTTTGGCTCATGGTACAACCACTAAAGCACAACGTACAACCCCATGACGAAAAGACCATTGCACCGACCCTAATGAATGATTAAGCTTCCTCCTCCCTCTCCTCTTCGTCTCTAGAAAATAATGCTCTACTCACCATCATATTCATATACTCCTTAACTACCAGTATCAATCTTTCTCTCTCACTGCTGCTCTGGTTGGAGCTGTTAATTATACCAAGATTTGCTCCAATTAACACAACCATATCTTCACCAAAGCAATAGCAAGTGTCGGTGTCGCCATTCTTTCTACCAATTCTAGTTCCATCATGTCTGCTAAATCCAAGTAACTTCCGTTTCTTATTTCTCAAATTGTATTTATTGTTGTTTATTATCAAATCTGGGCTTAATTGCTTGTTTCCATTTTGGATTTACTTCCCGATCCCCCTTCCACTTTACTTCTTTTTTTCTTTTTTTTGTAATCTTCGACTTCACTCATCAGATCTGCCCGTTTTCTTAAATATTTCTTCTACGACGCTTATCCCCATCCAACTTCCGTCTTAATGTCGACGAAATTTAAAGATCCCACAACTTAGGAGTGGAGATGCTGCTGTGTTTTGTCACCTTCTAGCTCTAATTTAGTAATTTGATTTTTTTCTTCTGCATTTGTTTAAAGTTTTGTCTTTTTTTCCTGCTTATGGTTTTGTTCACTTAATAGATCGTGCATTGCCTGGTGACCTGGTTGAATGAATGGATCCTAATGTTATCTTCTTGTTATATTCATTAATGTGGCTGATAATGTTGAAATTCTGACAGATCTTCTTCTTCTGAAACGCCTCCCGCCACCAAAATTCCGATTAGCAAAACATCACCGGCAACACCCAGAGTGAGTAAACTTAGCAGGGGAGTTGCCAAATCCGAGACTGATTCACCATCTCCCCTCCAAACCACCAGAGCTTCCGTGGAACGTTCCCCGCGATCTGTTCCTGTAAAGCCTGCCCTAGATCGTCGGTCTCCAAAGACCAGCACCCTTGCAGAAGTAAGTTCGAAAACTCAGCCTCCAGTTCTTTGTTTCACTGTTGACATAATGACATACTTCTATCATTGTTATATTCCCATGGCAATCGTCGCATTCTTTCTGCTCTAGCACTTGTTTGGAAACCAAACAATATACAATGCCTTTGATCTAATCTGTGGTGGACCCTGTTGCTGATGTACTTTTGTTTCGTATGTGGGTTTCCAGAAACCAGCTCCAAGGGTGGTGGTGCCAAAGGGATCAGAATTACAAGCTCAATTGAATGCACTTCAAGATGATCTCAAGAAAGCCGAAGAAAAATTGGTTTCTGTTGAGAAAGAGAAAGCAAAAGCCATAAACGAACTGAAAGAAGCCCAGAGATTATCTGAGGAAACAAACGAAAAGCTCAGGGAGGCTCTTGTGGCTCAAAAGAATGCCGAAGAGAGTATTGAAATAGAAAAGTTTCGTTCTGTTGAAATGGAACAAGCAGGAATCGATGCTGCTCACAAGAAGGACGAACAGTGGGAAAAGGAATTGGAATCTGTAAAGAACCAACATGCTGCAGATTTGGCTGCTCTTCTTTCTGCTACTCAAGAACTTGAAAAAGTGAAACAGGAATTGGCGATGACATGTGATGCGAAAGATCAAGCACTTACACATGCAGATGATGCAACCAAGATTGCTGAAAACCAGGTAGAAAAAGTAGAGACACTGTCTGCTGAGATTACACGATTGAAGGGAATGCTCAATTCCAAATTCGAATCAGAAGCAGATCAAAGTAACAAAATGGTGTCTGAGCTGAATTTGGAGATTGAAACTCTGAAATCAGAAGCAGAACACAGTAATAAGCTGGTGTTGGAGATGAAATCAGAGATCGAGACACTCAAGTCAAAAGGTCATGAAAATGACAAATTGGTTTCTGAGTTGAAATCAGAGGTTGAATATCTAAAGTCAGAGGAAGACGAGCTAAAATTAGAGATTGATTCTCTAAACGAAGAACTCAAGAAAGCTAAAGTATACAAGGAGAAGTTACTCGATAGAGAAGTGTCATTGGAGGAACTAAACATTGAATTAGAAGCTGCAAAAATGTCTGAATCATACGCGCGTAGCTTAATGGAGGAATGGAAGAGTAAAGTTGAAGAACTAGATCTTCAAGCAGAAGAAGCCAAAAGATTAGAAAGATCTGCATCTTCATCTCTCGAGTCAGTAGTCAAAGAACTTGAAGGGCGTAATAGTCTTTTGCGTAGCTCTGAATCCGAACTTGCTTCTCTCAAAGAGAAAGTGGGGTTGTTGGAAATGTCAAATGTGAGACAACGAGGCGATCTTGAAGAATCTGAAAGGAATCTTCATAAAGCAAGGGAAGAAGCTTCTGAAATGGTGAAGAAAGCTGAAATTCTGAAATCAGAGCTTGAGAATTTGAAAGAGGAAAGAACACAGGCCTTGAACAATGAGAAACTTGCAGCTAGCAGTGTTCAGACACTTTTAGAAGAAAAGAATAAACTCATAAGTGAGTTGGAATCTTCAAAAGACGAAGAGGAAAAGAGCAAGAAAGCTCTTGAGAGTCTAGCTTCAGCTTTACATGAAGTTTCTGCAGAAGCAAGAGAAGCTAAAGAAAAGGTGCTTTTGAATGAGTCTGAACATGAAAACTATGAGAGACAAATAGAAGATCTGAAACATGCACTTCAATCGACCAATGAGAAGTATCAGAACATGCTTGATGATGCAAAACATGAGATTGATATGCTCATGAATACAATCCAACAATCTAAAGATAACCATGAAAGTTTAGAGTCGGAATGGAAAGAAAAAGAGGTGAAATTGATGGAATGTGTTGAACAAAATAAACAAGAGAATGCTTCACTTGAAAAGGAGATAAAGAGGTTAGCTACTTTGCTCAAGGAAACCGAAGAAGAAGCTTATGGGTCCCAAGAAGAAAGATCCCAGTTGAAGAATCTTTTGAAGGAAGCTGAATCTGAAGTTGTGTATTTGAAGGAGGTTCTTGGTGAAGCAAAAGCCGAAAGCATGAACTTAAAAGAGAGCTTAATGGATAAAGAAAACGAGTTGCAGAGTCTTGATCATGAAATCAATGAGCTTAAAACACAAGAAGCTGCATCTCTGAAGAAGGTAGAGGAGTTGACCAGGCTGCTTGAGGAGTCAAACTCAAAGGCGAATAATAAGTCTTCCAAGATTGAAGAGCACGATGATGTCAGCGACAGTGAGAAAGAGTATGACATGCTTCCAAAAGTTGTGGAGTTTTCTGAACACAATGGTGATGCAAGAGATAAAGTCCCAAAAATTGAACAATCTGAGCAACATCTAGTAAAAGAAATACCACAAGATGATGTGGCGATTGTGAATGGAGAACATCATAAAGAGAGTCTGAGTGAGAAAGGAGACAGGAATGGAAACGATGATTCCGTTGAAGTCGAATTCAAGATGTGGGAAAGTTGCAAGATTGAAGGAAAGGATTTGTCGCCTGAAAGAGAAACAACTCATGAGGAATCTTTTGAGGATGAAGTGGATTCAAAATTGGAAAGTGGAGAAGGGTATGATCAGGCAAATGGTACAGAAAATGGTGCCACGTCACCATCAAAGGATCAACAGCAAGTGAAGAAGAAGAAACCTTTCATTCGGAAATTTGGAAGCTTGTTGAAGAAGAAAGGCTCAAGCAACAACAGCAGCCAGAAATAGGGTGTGGGGCCAAGTAGTGAAACAGGTATATCTGTGTCCTTGTTTTTTTTTTTTTTTTTGTTTGATACAATGTTTTTTGTTGTTTCATGATTTGAAACGATTACGTATCATCTTTGGAGATCTGTTTGTTATTATTATTATTATTATTATTATTTTGTGTATGGTATATTGGTATTATTCCCTGTCTGTCTTGTATGTTGCCTAGAAATTTAATTTGGAAAGGTTTAAGATTTTTGTTGCACATGAAGATGAAAAAAAAAACAACTGAGATGTCATCTATATATCTTGTTCCTGACTTCCTGTTATATTTAATATTGATATGATCTGTTAACAGTAAATGCACATGTAGCAACTGTGTATGTTGATATTGTTTAATAAATGTAATAATAATTAATATAACAAGTACACAAACAGCCAGCATGACAAGTCAGATATTATTTAGAGCATGTGGTGGAGCACATGTGAGTTGGGCATTAAAAAGGAAAGGGAGGGAGTATGCTGTGATGCTCGTTGGAAAGTTTTAATGAGAATTTGTTGTAAATGGTTGTACAGTCCATTAAAAGCTTCTACTTGTCACTTGTCAGAGTGGAAGGTCATCAAATAGTAAATAGTAAGAAACCCAGAAAAATCATTTTCTCTTCAATTATTTATATGTTAATATATTGGGATAAAACAAAAATGACCAAAAATGTATATGCAATATTATAAAATAAAATAAGTTAATAACCAACTTTTATCATGTGAATGACCATGTATTTTGCAAAGGGTTAGCCTAAGTCGCATAATGGTCCCACCATACATAACTTCGTAAGATCATCCTGCATGCTTCTCAAATGATTTATCTTTTAAATCTTGTTCGTGTATGTGTTTCGTGAAGATCGGCATATTTTGCAAATTGGTTTTGAATGCTCTTTGTATAATATCAATATGCTTTGATATTTACATGTTAGACCTAATATGCTAGTCGGCCTACACAGCAAAAACCGACAAATGACGGTTGGTTTTGACATAAATCTTGTTTTCATGTGTTTTGCGGAGGTTGTAGACACGTTCGTGAAAGAGTTGGTGTTTGATATGTTATGATTATTTACATGATACTAAGAATTTCAAAGATTTCTTGAAGATTTATTTTTGTTAGTGTTATTTTTCTTAAGATTTTTTTTAGTTAAGATTTATCTTGATTTGGAATTATTTCTTAATTAGATAAAACCTTTAGGATTTATATTGTTTTTTTTTTTTAAAATTAGATGATTTCTATCATAATTAGGAGTTATTTTATGATTTCTAGATTATTATAAATATCTTAGTCGTTTTGGAGTTTTAGACACCTTTTGAGATTTAATAAATTTTAGACAAAATTACAAAAATGGTCCCTGTGGTTTGCCAAAAGTAACAAAGTCAGTCCCTGTTAATTTTTTGATATAAATGGCCCCTGTGGTTTGCAAAACTTGCATAGATGGCCCTTTTTACTAACGTCGTTACTATTCTGCCGTTAGGGACTGAATCTGTAACGGCATTTTCGTCTTTTCAAGTATAAAGGGACTAAATTCGTGACATTTAGTAAACCATAGGGACCATTTTTGAAATTTCTTTGAAAAAAGCAATTAAATTGTTAGGAAGAGGGCTCGAACTCATGACCTCCACTCTTTAAATTATCAAAGCCTTAACCAATTGAGCTGAAACTTCCACTCTTTAAATTACCAAAGCCTTAACCAATTGAGCTGAAATGCTCTCTTGGTTTATTCTTTCCAAAAACTAATTTATATAATAACAAAATCGTTAAAACATAAACAATAAATAAATTATAAAAAGCATTTTTTTACATAATTTTTTTTAAATAAACAAAATGTATTTTAGTCGTACTATAAAAAAATGACAAAATTGCAAGAATGGTCTCTGTGGTATGTTCAAAATTGCTACTTTGGGCCAAACAAGTTTGGACTAGCATCAATAGTCCATAAGTTTTCATTTTGCTGCGGATTTGGTCCAAAACAATTTAAAAAATCTAAAAATGATGGATTTGCCCTTTTTCCATTTGTTTTTTGCATTTCTTTTTGTTATTTAGTTATTTTTTAACTAAAAAAATAAAAATAAATAAAATAAAATAAAATCTCTCTCTCTCTCTCTCTCTCTCTCTCTCTCTCTCTCGTTTCTTGCTTACCACCAGCCAAATCAACACAAACATCTATCCATTTTTCAACAGATTCTACACAAACACACATAGATTAAAACACACACAAAGATTTAATACACACACAGATTTAACACTTACACATACTTAACACCCACAAATCAAAACCCAAAATCGATTCAAAGATCTGAAGTGGAATGTCACCTAACTTGACGGATCTGAAATGGTGGTGTATGTCGATTGTGGTGCCAGAAACCACAAGTCGTTGCCGGTTGGTGGTGCCGAAGGAGAGAGATACACTTCGTCTCCGACCTGTGGGAGAGAAACCATAAACCTGAACCTAGTGTCGTCGTCGGAGTATGAATGAAACGAAGAGACACAGACGAAAAACGGAAAACGAACCTATGAGAGGGAGAGAGACACGAAAAACGACGATAGGGTTTACTATGACAGACGGCGACGTTAGGGTTTGCTATAACATTCAGATCCGACGACTGAGAAGAGGTGTTTTCGGCGAAGAAGAAGAGGATGGCAGCAAAACCCTAACTAGTCGTCGGATCTGAGGAATACGAGACTCGTCGAAGAAAGAACTAGATGAAGATGGTGAAGGAGATGAAGTCGTTTCAGACGAAGTCGTTTATGGCTCGAGTTTGCAGACGAAGTCGATAACCTTAGCAGTGGTGGTGTTGTTTATATTCGCCGAAAATGCGAGGGTTTTCAAAGGATTTTCCGGTGGTGGTGGTGTTGTTTATATTCGCCGGAAAAACGAGGGCGTTCATATACGAGAGAGAGAGAGAGAGATAAATATTTCTTTTATTTATTTTTATTTTTTTAGTTAGAAAATAATTAAATAACAAAAAGAAAAGCAAAAAACAAATGGAAAAGGGCAAATCTGTCATTTTTAGATTTTTTAAACTGTTTTGGACCAAAACCGCAGCAAAATGAAAACTTCTGGACCATTGATACTACTCCAAACCTGTTTGGCCCAAAGTAGCAATTTTGGACATATCACAGGGACCATTCTTGCAATTTTGTCTAAAAAAATAGTTTTTTACAAACAAATTGTATGTATTTTTATGTATTTATTATACGTAAAATATATATTTTTTGTCTTTAAAAAATACGTTTTCGTATAAAAAATACGTTTTTGTAAAACATGTTTTTTTATGTCTTTGAAATAGTAATAATTAACACTACTCATGACATAAAAAAATGTATAAATTTTTTTGAGTCCAGTTCTACCGTTTTTTCGGTTATATGTATTAAAAACAACTTAACAACGATTTTGTTATGTATCTAAACAATTTATACGGTTTTTTTTTCATGTCAAGAGTAGTGTTAATAATTGTTATTTCAAAAAGATATATCACTATATCTTTCCATCTTCATTTTAACCATACGACTTAAAACTTGTGATTAAGATGAAATACGTATTTTAAATAAGATATATAACCAATAGGTTTTTTATGTTTTTTTAAATACATATAAAAAACCATACGTATCTTAAATAAGATATATACATATTCATGTATTTTAACCGAATAGGTTTGTTATGTATCTAAACAATTTATACGGTTTTTTATGTTTTTTTAAATACGATTTAGAACCATACATATTTTAAATAAGATATATACGTATTCGGTTATATGTATCTAAACAATTTATACGGTTTTTTATGTTTTTTTAAATACGATTTAGAACCATACATATTTTTAATAAGATATATATGTATTCGGTTATATGTATTTAAAAAAACATAAAAAAAAACCTATTCAGTTAGATATCTTATTTAAAATATGTATTTCATCTTAATCGCAAAAGAATTTATACATTTTTTTATGTCATGAGTAGTGTTAATTATTACTATTTCAAAGACATAAAAAAACGTGTTTTACAAAAACGTATTTTTTATACGAAAACTTATTTTTTAAAGACAAAAAATATATATTTTACGTAAAATAAATACATAAAAGTACATACAATTTGTTTGTAAAAAACTATTATTTTATAGTACGACTAAAATACATTTTGTTTTATTTAAAAAAAATTATGTAAAAAAATGTTTTTTATAATTTATTTATTGTTTATGTTTTAACGATTTTGTTATTATATAAATTAGTTTTTGGAAAGAATAAACCAAGAGAGCATTCAGCTCAATTGGTTAAGGCTTTGGTAATTTAATGAGTGGAGGTCATGAGTTTGAGCCCTCTTCCTAACAATTTAATTGTTTTTTTCAAAGAAATTTCAAAAATGGTCCATGTGGTTTACTAAATGTCACGAATTTAGTTCATTTATACTTGAAAAGACGAAAATGCCTTTACAGATTCAGTCCCTAACGGCAGAATAGTAACGGCGTTAGTAAAAAGGGTCATCTATGCAAGTTTTGCAAACCACAGGGGCCATTTACATAAAAAAAATAACAGGGACTGACTTTGTTACTTTTGGCAAACCACAGAGACCATTTTTGTAATTTTGTCTAAATTTTATGAAAGAATTTGCAAAAATTATGAACACATATTGTTCTTGTTGTTCTTTGTTACTGTTGAGTCCGGCCATTTTCGATTTATTTTTGCGTCATTTGGTATCAGAACCCGACCGAGATGATCGATTGAGGAAGATCCCGCGTGGCTACAAATCATCACAACGCCAGGTATGAAGATGGAGCAATTTATGCTAAAGACCCACAAGATATGTAGATAGAGCCAAAAAAAACATTGTGATTGAATACTTACAATGACGAGTGCAAGAACTCGAGCTGTTGAATCAAGAATTGCAAGGAGAAGAGATTGAATCGGAACAACTACTAGAAGGTCAATCGTTTTTCCGTACCAAGACGAGATCTTCACGAAGGAGGATATCACGATGATCCGTTGAGGAACATTGATTTTTGAAGGTAGAGAATCCCAAATGCGTAGGGTTAGAAGTATACCTCTCGATTTTGTCTGAATCTAAACATATCTTTTGGGAAAGGAGGATGAAGACGAGAGCATTGCATTTTGTGACATTGATTTCATCTATGATGCAGAACCCATCTACAAAAATTGACATTTTATAAACAATATTTTGTTGGTGTTGAAAATCAATATTTTCTAGGTTTCATATATTTTATAAACATGATACAAAACAAATCATATGTGAAACATCTAGTGAGTGTTTTTTTGTTGGGTTTATTTATGTTTATTCTAAAGTGTGGAAGTTTCATGCTTTTTAGAAACCTTGGATGAGAGGTATTGGTGACGAAAGCTCGTGGACAAGTCTTTTTCAAGAGGGAGAATGATGAATGGAGAATTTCAAATATACATGAATATTTATTTTTATTAGTGTTATTTTATTTTAAGATTTTTTATTATTATTATGAATTATCTCATAATTGGATAAAATCTTTAGAATTTATGTTGCTTCTTAAATTAGATATAATTTCTATTATAATTAGAAGTCATTTTAGGGTTCCTGGATATTATAAATAAGCTAATCGTCTTGGAATTTTAAACAATTTTTTAGATTTAATACATTTTATGAAAGAATTTGCAAAATTTCTGAAGAATATAGAATGTTCTTATGGTTCGTTGTTACCGTTGAGTTCGGTTATTTCCGATTGGTGTTTATTTTTCATCAAATATGCTAATGGATAAACCGACAAATGACAATATACTTTTATGGGTTTCTCAAAGATAGGCACATCTCACGAAATGGTTTACACACGTTTTCAGTCATATGCTTTGATTATTTTCATATTTACAAAAGTTCATGAACCAAGAGTATTTCACGAAAGATCTATTAATTTTTTGCAAAACGGTAATTTTATAGTTTGGTTCTTAGCATTGCTTCTTGTGTTAAATGTTAAAGTGGTCCAAAAGAAGACCAACAAATAGCTTAAAAACTTAGCATTCATCATGAACAAAGTTAAAAGATCATGAAAAGGAAATCACCGAGTTTAAGAAGAATCTTGATGATAAGCAACGTTGGTATTAGAAATTAACAAGTGAAAACCCCGACTTTTCAAAATTTTGATGCAAAGAATAAAATTGAGCCCAAGATTTAAAGGAAAACTAAGTGGAACACGAGGACGTGGAAAAACTTTGTAGTCAAAGAACAATTAAACAATGATGAATTACCAAAGGGTTTGTAGCATAGTGGTATCAAATGTTTGTAAAAAGGTGTCATTCATTCAAAGATTGAGGGTTCAAGTCTCATTGGAGACAAAAATAATTTAGGAGTAGTGTAGAGGATGCATGTGTTTGCTGTTCTAAAAATATCAGTCATGAATTATAGGCTGCTTGTGCTCACAATTACATTTCTAAAACGTCTTTTCAATGACCATGAAAAGAGACGAAATATGGTGCACCTACTGGCAGCTGCACTATGATTATCAGTAACTTCAATTTACTTGATAGATCTAGATGTTCGTTCTCGATTTTACACTAAATATTGATAATATCATACCAAATATGATTCTTATCAAGGCTAGTGATTTTCTAGTGATGATTAAGCGGCTCATAATTACAGGAGTATTGATCCTCAAATAATATGATAAGAACATAGATGAAGTCATGAAGATGAGTGAGAGGGTTTAATAAATTTCATCCATACACTCTTAGTTGGTGATGTACCTTCTCTCTTTTTGGTCACTTTTGTGATTAGCCCTTATATGTTTGTCCTCGTATTCCTTCATAATAAAGAAGCAAATATGTACACAGCTGAAATGTGCATAATGAGCAGAATAAAACCAGTCAAAAAAGTTGAATCATATGTAAGTATGCATCAACTTAATCCAGCTTAACCAAACATATGTAACAAGAATTTGAGTGATATACAAGCCACAAGACCTCCAAAATAGATGTTTTTTCAATATACTTATGTATTCTTTCATATTCCTCATCAAATCCATGAAACAAACATATAAAACCATGGTGAAATCACAGATTCTCTTCTATCTCTTTACACTTAACAGTAGCTAGAAAACACCTCAAACCAAATTTTACAAACTCAATCCCCAATATTCAGAATCAGGCCCTAACATTCAAGTCTTATTGTTCCGCTTCAAACCAAATTAAGATGATGAAAATGAAACAACACTGTAAAAAGGACAAAGGGCTACAATTAAGTTTATACATGATCATTTTCAGGACCCTCTATTGATATGTTTCTCTTGTTTTGTTGTGTCATTGGTAAAAGGGTACCTTTGTCTCTATATTTGACTCTCTTTGGGCCAACATTCTTTTCACCCTTTTTCCATACTCTTGAAGACACCAACTTCAATCCTCTCCTCATGTACGTTACTAGAAGGGTAACAAGCTCTCTGCAGAGTCAACAAATAAACTAATCTTTATCTTTATCATCCTCGCTGATTTGACTAAAATACCCTTTTTCACATGAAGAAATTTTACTTACAAGGGTGAACATGGAGATCGGCCACCATTCACATAATAAATGAACAAGTATGCATCATAATGTTGGCCATTGATAAAATAAAAGGAATTCAGCCTCCTTACACAAAGGAAGGACATTTTCTGATACAAATGGATTGCAGAATTGTTGTAAGAAATTACATGAAGGTAAACTGCTCTGCAATTTGGCATACTTGAACCATACTTGATCACCTCTCGAATCAGTGAAGTGGCTGAAATGTTTTGAAATAGCAATCTACTTTCAACCAGAATAATCATTCAAGAAAATTTGTCAAAGAAAAATGAAATGGCTGTTTTTTTACCTATACCAAAATTTCTATATGACTCTACCACTCCTAGAGTCAGAATATAAACTAGAGCCTGATCTGATCTTGATTTGTCATATCTCAGCATATCTTCTATCTACAATGCATAGAATGAAATTAGTTTCCTTGTTTATATAACAAAGAACTTGGCATTATTGATTGCATTAAGAAGATAAAGGTATTTTAGGTAGAATGAGAAAATCACCTCACTTTCTTTTGCCATAATGATTCTTGCAGTGACGAATCCAATAAGTTCATCACTTTCACCATTAGGACGATTTCGGTCAACTGCTCCCCAAGAAACTATATCGTGACCATGAACAACATTGTGGAAGAATTCAATTTCATACCTAAGGATAGATAGTCACAAAGAACTGATCTTGTTGAGAAAGTATTCATTATCTTTAATAGAACCCTTTATGTAAAAGGGTTAATCACAAATACTGACAAAAAACATTAACTCATTCAGTCACCAAAGTTCTGATTGGGTTCAATAGAGCCAAAACATCAATTTTTGTGTCAATGTTGGCAGAACCAAATTAGAAATTTCATGATCGAATGAGTAAATTTCAAATAGTTTGTTGTCAGTATATGTCGTTTAAAAAAAGAAAGGGATCTTCTAACCTGATGGGAAACAGATCGCCATGGATTTTTACAAGAACATCTAGATCAGTGGGTTGTATAGGCCTGTAAGATATGGATGGATGGCGGGGTGCTCTCAAGTTCATCATTGAAAATACCCAATAAAAGTTTGATGTGTGACACCATTTATGTCACTCAACCAAAAGGGGCCATGCAGCAGTCATTGAAACTAGTAGATAACTTTCCATGTTAGCAATTTTGCAAAATCATGCATATTCAAAGACAAAACGGTGAACCACTAAGTGTTAAAATGGGAATTAGTTGCATAGAAGAAGTAACTGGAATTGTGAGTGGAATCATATGATATCAATCTAGTTGAAAAATCCATGTAATTACTTAAGCTGATCATGCCCCCAAGTAAGCACAGCTAACAAACAAAGCACTCTTCCATCAATCCTAAATGATATACAAACAAGAAAGTATGCATATAACAAGAAAATGATTCAAAAAGTAACAAATACCAAACACAATGAGCTGTGATCCTTGAGATTAGTTAGTGGTTATTGTTGGACATAAATGAGTAAAAGTTTGCCCCAATTGGCAAGTGTTGATGGCGGTTGGCGGAGATTATTGATGGGTGAAGGGGCAATCGAAATGGAAAGATTAAAAATCAAATCTTTAAGAAAGAAACCCAATCAAATGATCAAAAAACTAAAACTGAAAGTAACAATGATCAAGATCGAATTGAAAGTGTAAGGGGGCTTACCACATCGTTAAGCGGCGAGATTAGGTCGAATTAAAGATGGTGTCGTCTTGTTTATAAGTAGAAAGGAGAAGGAAGGAGGAAGGGAGGGATCGGAGAAGATGGGAAATTGGAAAAGTTGGAAGAAAGGAATCTCGAATGTGAGGAACAGGAACAAGCACATGAACAGGAACAGGGGAGAGTTCGGTCGGGTCAATGACTCGGTTTCTATAAAAATTAAGAAGGGAATCCCAAGACCCAATTTTTCATTCTTGAGTGGCAAGAGAATCCGTTTATATAATTATATTTCTTGTTTTTGATACGTGCAACTCATTAAATAAGTAATAAATACCCAAATAATCATTTAATAACCATCGTCAATGTAATAGTATTTCATTATATTACAATGTAATACTATTTCGTAATATTGTAATATAGTGTAAAGGATAATATGGTTTTAAGTTAAAGGGAATGGTGTCATGTCTTTAATTTTTGTTGTCACATATATCTCATGTGTTGCGTCCAAGTTCTCGTGGCTTCGCGTCACTTTAGTAGTGTGTAGGGTCTAGTCTGATATCTGGTTTTAGGCTACAATAGAAAAGATATTAGAGCGATTCCGGATGTGGCCCGAAACCTCACCAAAGCTTAAGTAAGTATTTTTGTGAGATACGTAAGAGAACGGAAGGTAAAATCTTAAGTATAATCTATAAGGAAGTAATGACTATTCTTCACCTGGTTTGCTCATCAGACCTCCTTGGTTTATATATGAAATTTCTGGGGGAAACTTACATTGGTTTTCAGACGGGAAAGTACATCAATACAAGTTGATAGGCATTTATTGACGTGTCTTTTCCTTTGATTCTCATGTCTACCCATTAAAATGTTGAATCCTGGTGATAAGGGGTTGTCGTCTTGGTCCGTTCCGGTAGAAGACCATTGTGACAGGTCTTGGACACAAGTCAACGAAGACATATGTCATTAAGCATCCCTAGTTTTAACTTAAGTGTTACCTAAGTTAAAAATATTTATCGTCTCGTTCTCATCTCCTTCCGTCCGGGCAGTGAAATAAGAGGGTCGAAATGGGCATTAATGGGAAGCCTTTTCACTGACGTTTGCGTTCCTCGAGGAGAAATCATCATCCCATTTTACCCTACCTATAAAAGTTGATCTCATTTTGAATTTCTTATTACTGTCTTTTGGCTTTTCTTCTCTTACCCTTGGAAATTATACTTCCGTGTTTCTATAGTAAAAATGGGCAAAGTGATTGTGGAATCCATTCCCACCTATATCGATTCCGACTATCTAAAACAAATCATGAAGGTTTATAAAATGAAAGACGCTTTTACACATGAAGTTGCTCCACCAGAGACTTCCATCAAGGAAGCTGGGGATAATCAAGTCGGCGTTTATCTGCATGTAACATCCCATAAATCAAGGTAAAAATTTCATTTTTGAAACCAATCCAAAACCATAAGCGTTTACAAATCATAGTTTCCAAAAGTCATAAACATGAATCAGAGTATCCCAAAATCATAATCTCATAAAAATCCAGGATGATGTGCACGATCAAGCTTTCGCCTTGCCTCAATCATCTGAAGTACCTGAAACATAAAACTGAAACTGTAATTCAAAGCTTAGTGAGTTCCCCAAAGTACCACCACACAATAGAACATGTACAAAACACATACTGGGTCCACAACCTCCTGGTTGGATTACCCCTGGCCCACAACCTTTCGGTTGGATTGCCCTGGCCCACAACTTTTCGGTTGGATTTCCTAATATATATTGGGTCCACAACTTCCTGGTTGGATTACCCCTGACGCACAACCTTCCAGTGGATTGCCATGACCCACAACCTTTCGGTTGGATTGCCCGAGTTTGTTGACTGGCAGCACAAAGCAGTACAATCTCAACCCAACCACACTATGTCAATATATATAACAGATAAAATACATAACAACAACCAGATAATCATGCAGATCTTAACAATTCATCACAGTATTAGCAACAATTCAAACTAGAATACACCAACTACTGGGTCAGCATTGGTGCCTTCAACCCCCAAGTATACTGAGGAAAACTCACCTCACGATCTGAAAGATAGCAGAAATGATAACTGCTCCAAATGCCAACTATACAGGTCACCATACAACAAACAATGACCTAACATCAAACTACTGCTCAAAATACCCAAAATACCCCTAAGTCAAACTTTGTTAAATTCCTTGTCAAAGAGTCAAAAAAAGTCAAGGGAGGTCAACACAGACTGAGTACGCCCATCGTATTCAGTTACTACGCTCAACGTAGTAGATCCCTTCCTGGTTACAGGGCTCCAGCCTGGTACGCTCAGCGTACCACCAGGTACGCCCAACGTACTTGTCCAGTTCCATTTTCCTTCATTAAGTGCTTATTTCATTAAGATCTCATGTCTAAAACTCAAATCTAGTCCTAAATAATATTCTAAGTCATAAAGTTTCCAACTTTATGACTTTCCATTGCTAGAAGGAGTCCATACACCAAAACCCTAACTTAATACACGAACCAAAGCATCATAACTCTTGCATGGAAGGAAGAAAGAGACTAAGATCACATTTTTATGGTTTCTCGTAGCTCCATAATGGATAAAGTTTCCAACTTTATCCATTAGGATGGTCCAAATAACCAAGATATGGTCTTTAAGTCTTAAAGAGACTAAAATGCATCTTTCTCAACTTAATCCATTAAGTCCAAGTCTCAAACGTTATCCATAACGAGGTCACAAACTTTCAAGATCTAAACTTTATGCATGAAAGTGACCAAAAAGTGACAAATATGAAAATTAGCAGGATCTATGAAACTAATGAGCAAGTTTGAAGCTTTTTACTTACAAAGGTTCAGAAATGATGTAATTTTGTTGGATCTATGCTTGAATCCTTCTTCCATACACTTTGCCACCACCTTGTTCTTCAAGATCCCACCTTCTAATGGAGAAATAAGCTCATAAATGATGCCAATGCTCAAAATAAGTTATAGGAGGCTAGAGTTTCGAGCTAGAGGCTCAAGAGGGTGGAGGCTCATGATAGGAAGGACCCCCACAATCCTATCTAATTACTTTTTAACTTAAAACATACCGAACTAAAATCCTTATTCCAAGAAAGAAGGCTGAAACATCATTTTTTCCGTTTTACCCTTTGACTCCAAAACATAAACCAATGGCTTGGATCGCATAACCAATATTATCAACATTCAATATGGTCTAAACCCTATTCCCTTGAAGCCCAAGGCCTTTACTTGATCCATTTATTGTCCACAATCTCGAAATATGAAACTTCTCAAAACAAGATATTACACTGTAATTCCTTCTTTTGATATTATGTTTCCCCGCCTACTCTTTTCATCGGAGACGTGTGTCGTGTTTACATGGTGCACCTTTCTCAGATTAGCCCTAACGGGTTCCAAAAGCTTATGTGTTTTCTTTTGTTGAGCAAAGCTTTAGGGTTCGAACCAGATGTCTCACTATCTTGATTGTAATACTTCAATTGGAGACTGGATAACCTTTTCTAGTAGACAGGGGGTCATGGAATCTGTCACGGTTTATCTGATTCCATCAAATATTAGAAACATGAGTTTTTCTTCGTGGATTCGTCAGTCTTTCTGTTTCCCATGGCGTTAGGGAAACCCACTAAGCGTCCCTTATACCCCAGGCCTGAGCTTTCATCTGAGAATATGGTCGTTTTCGGGCTTTATCTAATCATGTCATCAAGTGGAAAGATCTAAAGGAATTTTACTTGGGCATAGCATGTTTGAGCCCTTATTGGGAAAGCCGAAAGAAAATGTCAGCCCTTATATTCGAGGTTCAAGAGGTTCCCATTATTTCGATATTGAGGCAATAGGTCCCAGAAGTTGGCTTAAAGTTGAGGAAGATCCCCCTTGGGCTCCCAAGTTGGAAAGTCATATGACAACAAGGTCGTCGATAATCTAACCTTATTGAACTGATGTTTAATCATTAAATCTTCGATATATTCAAGGCACTAATCGAAATTCTCATACTCCATAAAATCCTAGAGTTATTCCAAAGTAAAAATCAAAAGCCCTAAAATCGGTTCCATATAGAACTATTATGAACAAATATCAGATAATCTGATTTTATTGAACTGCCATCCGCAATAAGGCGAATAAAAAATCCGTTCAAGCTCAGATTTACCATTACATGGAAACGACGCATCGGGGAAAAAGAAGTGAACCTTTTCACCTTGAGTTGGAATTCGGCGAGTGAAGTCAAAGGAAGAACCTAATAAAAATCAAAACCTAAAACGATAGTTGGTACTTTATCAGGGTGGGAATGAAAAAGCATACCTGAGTTAAGGATATCGAACTATGTACTCTAATCATAAACCACGGAAGATGATAAACAATTAAATTCAACACTTTCGATTTATAGTGATGCCCGAAATCTGTGATGTTGAGACCTTTTTGATTATCAAAAGGTTTATTAAAATTTAACAGATGTGTATGGAAAAAGGCGAACAAAAAATCACCTTAGGATTAAATCAGTTAAGCGGTGAAGGCCAGAAATCAGTACATGGAACATAACATGTGCGAGTAACCGGTAAGCAAACTTGATGGCAATGCAAATTCAAGGCCCAACTCCAAATAACAATCCTATGAAGAAAAACCAAAAAATATTACACATTTATCAATTTTGAAAAAGTAAAAGACTAATTCTATCAGATCCAAATATTTACTGTTTGCTAGATTTAATATATATAATAATGTCGCAGGTGATATCTACAAAAATTAATTACTATTTTGATAAACTCTTTAATTTATAAAAATAATAAATAAATTAGCCTTTTTTTCCATAAGACGTCACGTTATAAACGGGTCTATCCAACCCGTTATCAGATTACAAACGGATCCATCCAACCCGTTATTATGTTACAAATGGATCTACTCGACCCGGAACCTAGTCTACAAAATCTGATTGCTATTACTGACACTGACATCAACCTCCTTCCGATAACCTCTTTTCCCCCAATAAACCACACCTCTATCATCATCACCGTCGTCACATGGCCGCTGAATCCATGTCGGTTAGTGCTTTCCTAATCTTTCTTCTCTTTCATTCATTTCCACACAAATTCATGTCTTTATTTGATAATTGATTCAATTTCTTGTTCTATGAATCTAGTGGTTTTGTTTATATTTGTTTCCTCATCGCCCGTTGATGCATCTTTCTTAGTTATTCAGCCTGGATCGTATGTAATCACAAGAATCTTATCTTCGCCACGCTTATTCTCCCGTTTCCGTGTCATATTTTCATATCCCTTCTTCATGTTCTGGGATTCATCCATTTTATTAAGCAGAGGGTCTTTTCTGTACTCGAATGAAAGTGCTCTTGTTGGACGAGTAATATATGATAGTTTTCAAGAGTACAGAGTTTATGTTGTTCATGGCTACAACTTCATAAATACCATACAAAAAACCAATATCCAGATAGCCTTTATGTGCTTTCACAAGTAGGGTTCCCTTAAGTGCTTTAACAAAACTGTAATCAACTGTAGGAATTTGATGCCACATGGCTTTAGTTTCATATGGAACCAACATACTGATGCTATTTGAATGCTCGTGTATCATTGATTCATTGCTCTGTTGATCTTCATTTCCTATCTCGATCAGTGGAAAAGCTTCTATACTTGGATGTAATTAATTTTACGACATGCTATGCATAAAACAACTATGGCAATTTGAGTATATTGCATCAGCCATGTAAACAGTTGTATTCTTTATTTTATTTTTGTATCATGTCAATTTGAGTCTATTCTTATCTTGATAGGTAAGAACTGTGAAGGTCATCAATGTTTCCTTAAGTGCTTCCGAGCAAGACATCAAGGAATTCTTTTCGTTTTCTGGTGATATTGAATATATTGAGATGAAGAGGTTATTTCCCACTTTCTTTAGGGTTTTTAAACATAAGTTTTTTTTTCTATAAATTATTCTAAAGAAAAATCATGTGATATACACCATTTCAGTGAGAATGAGCGAGCTCAAAATGCATTCGTCACTTTCAAGGAGCCTCAAGGTGCAGAGACTGCAGTTCTACTCTCGGTATATACAAATCTTGATTATCTTGTACACAATTCTTACAATTTATAAGAGTACACTCTTCCACCTTCTGGTTTTGATGATTTCAGGGAGCAACTATAGTCGACCAATCTGTTACCATTGTTCTTGCACCAGAGTACACTCTCCCTCCTTTTACAACTACACTTTCAGATCAACAAAACACCGTATGTTCTTTTTGTTATTTTTATCATCAAGAATGAGTGTAAATGTTAATATTATCTGATGTTTATATAATGTGGTTCATAATTTAGGCAACAGGGGGGCAAGGTGTGGGAGGTGCTGAATCTGCTGTTCAAAAAGCAGAAGATGTTGTGAGCAGTATGTTGGCAAAAGGTTTCATACTGGGAAAAGATGCAGTAAACAAAGCCAAATTGTTTGATGAGAAAGTCCAGTTTACATCAACAGCTGCAGCAAAAGCAGCTACAATAGACCAGAAGATTGGTCTAACTGAGAAAATCAACCTGGGGACAACATTAGTGAATGAGAAAGTGAAAGAGATGGATCAGAAGTTTCAGGTGTCTGAGAAGACAAAAACGGCCTTTGCGACTGCAGAGCAGACTGTAAGTGTTGCGGGATCTGCACTTATGAAGAACCGGTATGTGCTGACTGGGACTGCCTGGGTCGCCGGAGCTTTCAGCAGGGTGACGAAAGCCGCCGGAGAAGTGGGACAGAAGACCATGGAGAAAGTGGCAGTGGAAGAACAGGCGGCTGGAACGGGAACCACCAGGACTACTCATCAAGAACCACCGCCTACTTCTACACACCCTGCTACTGGTTGAACAAGAACACCACATGATCAGGTCTTGTTGCTTCAGTCAAGTGTTAGGCTGTAGATTATGCAGGATTTATGGACTTTATTATTATGAATTTTCTGTTTTTTTCATGGTTTTAGTGGTTTAGGAGTTGGTATATGGAAAAAACACAAGTAGTTGCTTGATATGTTTAATCGTATAATTTGTTTACATGTTATATTTGTATATTTTAGCAATATATGTTGTATAATCCTCCACTTTTGCACATTCACAAAACCTTATTATCTTATCAATCAATTCTAACTTCAAGTGTAAGACAAAATTCATACAAAACATGGTATGACAACAAATTGTGCTAAATGGAGGTTTTCCTTATCATCATCATCTTCATTAGTATGACATGCATTTAAAGGATAGAAAAGGTAAAAAAAGTTAACAGATTTGCAAATCATTTTCTTCAAAAGTAAGTTGGCATTGAAGCTTCTTCCCACTGGCTTGTTTGTTCCCATTATCTGCTTACAGAAGCTTCAATCCACCGGTCACATCATCAACCATATCAGCTGGTCCTGCATGTGTATATATGCACACTTGAAGATCAGTTTTTTTTTTTAAATGAATTGTTAAGGAAATAAGAACAAACATGAAAGGAAGATGAACTTACCAAGAACAGCCATCACTGTCCTTGAATCTGGAAAAAAAAAATAAAGGAAATCAGAATTTTATCTAGAAAGAAAATGCAGGAAATGTTATATACTACTAAAAGACGAGGAAGCTGACTTGGTGCTATCTGTGTTCGCCCTGCATCAATGACAATATGAGTTGGTATGGCCATTGACTTTGCTTTTTCCTGCAAAACAAAAGAGTTCCATATATACATATAAGAAGATGATGCCTAGAAATCAACATACAAACAAGATCATGATTCATGGCAATAAAACTTAACCTGTAAAACCAGCATATCATCTTCACTTTCGATTTTCACCACTACTTTAACCTGCCCACACATCTCCCACCTGCATATTTGCATAAAGTAAACCTACCATAATCAACACTCAACAACACTTTCAGAAAAGGTTTACAGAAGTAGCTACCTGTTTAAAGCTTTAGGTGCCCGATGAAGAATCTTCTTGTAGAGTCCCAAAGTTGCATGGCTGCAAACAACCATAATTATATCTCAAGTAAGACAACAACCATATAATATATCATTTTCAATCTTTTACAGAGGCTTCTAGCTCCACCATTGAAGTAATGGATACCTGCACTGAGCAGCAATCTTCCCTTTCCCCATCTTTAGGTCGTTTCTTACAACCAACACCTGCATAAAACAAGAAATTTCTATTCATTATAGCTCGTAACATATATATTGTTAAGATGTTACATAAAGAAGCTTACCATCTTAAAATCTTCAATAATCTCAGCCAGCTTTTCAATCTCAAGGGGTGGTTTGCCTTTGCCTTTGCCTTTAGTCTGGCCTTTTATGCTTCCATCTACAATTTCAGCTGCCTTGGTTAAAAGAAATTTGCGACCTGGTTTTCGTGCACCAATGAAGAATCCCAAAGCAAGGCAGCCTGCTCCAACCAAGATAGCGCTGATCCATGTTACAGCCATCATATTCGAATCCAAATCAACACCTTTCACTTAAATCCCAATTGATGAAAGCCAAATTCTGACACCCAATTATATGAGAACCTACAAGGAGCATTGGTGAGTTTAGTTGAATGTGCAGATCGATAAAGAGATGTGGTTTCTGCTTAAAGTTTTCTACACATGACAATGAAATTGAAATAATACTGGATAGCTTGAAAGGCAGTTACAAAATACAAATAGCGCATGTATCAATGGCATCTGCCCAAAATCTATCCACCTCAATCATGTAACACGATTTCTACTAATTTGAAAATAATTTACAATGAAACCGAAATAATACTTGGTAGCTTGAAATCAAGCGTATTGAAGGGCTTCCGAATCAAATCGAAAAAATAAAAATGGATTATGGTTTAAATTTACTAGAAACTGTTGAAAGGAGATTAATGCGTAATTAATAAGGATGGAAAGAAGTACCAGTAACTTGATACTACACAAAACAGCATTGGCAAAGTGATCGATGGGGTGATGAGCTCAGTTGGGCATGCCGGCGGCGACCCTCGACGCCTCTAGTTCGCTGCCTCTTTTTGGGTTTTTTTTTGGTCTTTTCAATCTTAACATGTTGAACTTTGTATTTGTATAAGAAAATATACATTGAATTACAAAAATGGTCCCCCTAGTAGATAGAGTAAATTACACGAATCGTCCCTATGGTTTTGAGGTAATTTGCACGTTTGGTACCTAATTTATTTTTTTAACTCGGAAGGTCCCTATTGTTTGTTTTTGTTGCGCGCTTGGTCCCTGTCTTACCTAAAAAGACTATTTTGCTCTTGATTTTTTAATTTATTTAAATAAACACACCCACAACCCCACTTCCACCTCACCTTACCTTACCTTACCCACCTCACCTTATTTAAATAAATTAAAAAATCAAAAGCAAAATAGTCTTTTTAGGCAAGACAATGACCAAGCACGCAAAAAAAAACAAACTGTAGGGACCTTCCGAGTTAAAAAATAAGTTAGAAACCAAACGTGCAAATTACCCTAAACCATAGGGGCCAATCGTGTAACTCACTCTAAGTAATATTATCATAGTTCTAAAAAGCGTGTCACGGCGCGCGATACATAGTGTAGCCGTTACAAAAACGTCAAAAACATTATCACAACAAGGCTCACAAACACTTGAATGGGGACTAGGGTTTCGTTCTTTGGGTTTTAAGAGATGGAGGTTGGTTATAAGAAACCCCAAAGACAACTTAAGGTGCTTAAATATGGCACAAACCCTAAAATTTAGGGTTTGCCCCTGATGGTCGTACGTCTCGCGTACGTTGAAGCCTCCGTGATGCGGATGTCGAGCCAGTACGCCCGACGTACTCATAACGTACGCCCAGCATACTCGGCTAGGGTCTAGAACCACCAATCTTCTGAAGGCGATAACTTATTCGTTCTACGTCTGATTTCGACGTTCTTTATATCCACGTAAAGGTAATGGGAAGCTCTATAATTCTATCAACTCTCTTTTGCCTTACCACTTCCCGAGCTTAGATCCCAAAATTCATAAAAGGCTCAAACTATCACTTTACTGCTATATCCTTGGGCTTTAAAACGCGAACCAAACACTCGGTACCTATAACCTACATTATCCACCATCCAAATGGGCCTAAACCTCTCCTTCCCAAGGCTCGAAGCCTTATGATACTTGATCCTCGGGTCACAGTCCCGAATTATGGAATGACCCGAAACAGGATGTTACAACTCTCCCCCACTTAAATTAGATCAAATCACATCCTCACTATCATCCTGGAACCCAAACGCTCAGACCAGTACCTGTTAACTTTTCCTCGAATCACTAGAAAGGTTGTCCCTTACCCTTAGCGACCCTCCAAGGCCACCATCGAACCCCAACCTTGTCAAAACTCACACTCCTAATGATGAACAAATCATTGATCCTTTAACTATAGAACCAACACCTCACTGCTATATTTCTGAAACCCCCAAAACTTTGCTTGACGTCCACACAGGTAGGATTAGCCCGAAACATAACTACTAGGACCCCGCACTGCAATTTGAGCTGAAAACATCCTTTTGGTACCGTACTATCCCACTGGTACCTTTGATAGACAAATTCCTTAACCATAAATTGATGATAAAACGATCTTTTGACTCTCAATATGAGTCCCGCCCATTTGCCAACCCGATACAAGAAATATATTCCGAAATCCAAAGATTTACACTTGAATTCATCCGAAATGTTCTTATTCCACAACAATCTTTAACTAAACTAAAATATAAAATTCTCAATCTACCGCTGAAACTGACAGCCTCACACCTGGTCCAATCACCAGGCTCCTACTGAGATTCTAACTGATAAAGGATACCCTAGCCTACGCATCATACGAATACTAAGCATTGACCACAGAGTCGTCCCATTCTGACGTAATCCAAAATCTCGCCCCAACCAATCCCCACGGGGTCTCACGCGTACTATCATAACCATACGGGCCTCGCCTACGGGTCTCACCCAACTGAGTGTTATACCGGTGTAACCTTGCCTCGGTTCTAACGATCCTCATACCAACTAAAAGTAATCTCATGAAAATATTGTCTGCCTCGACCCGGGCATGAACTGATCATTCCTCAGTTCCACGACCACTCCCATAGTGGCCTACCTCATTCTGGTGAACGCTACGATCTCATCGCAAACTTACAACACTTCCCTGACTGCCTATCATCCTTATGTATGCTACGGCTACCCCGTAGGCTTACTACATTCCCACATCATCCTACCAAACTTGTGAATGCTACGGATGCCCCGTAGTCTTACAACACTTCCATGCTGCCATGGGCCCAACCCATGGTTTTACAGTCCATCTACTATACCGACCATGACCATTGTAAGACAAACCCAAATTCGGTTATAAATTAATTAGGTGTTCGAGTTATGCTTCGAATCCCTAAGCCTTAGTCTGACATGAGCATGGAGAGAGAGACTCCAACACAACTTTCAATCTGGGACCATCCACATATCCACCATGCGTCACTACTGATGGGAAAAGAAACCTGAATATCCATTCTTGTTCATCCTTAGACCAAACGATTATCCCCCACTTGGATTCGAATGCGCTCTTCCAATCCACAAAGAATTTGATGGATTCCCAATCCATCCCACAACCTAATAATTCCAATTGTTAACAACCAGGGCTTACAAGAACTGACATTCCATTAGTAGCCAACCTTAGTGACTATACACATTCCAAAACCAGACGAACACTTCTTGACTTCTCAATGAGCTCAATAATCCCATGTGCTTCCCCTGATACCACTCCAAATCCTTAAGCCACCTCAGCTTGTGGCATACAACTATAACCCTTAACCAGAACAGACGAGTCATCAATTCAACAACTCACTTTCCGAAGAATCTATGTACTCAAAGTTCTCCAAAAGATACCATTAAATTTCTGTTGCCAATCCCAATGACTAAAATAATCCATTCGAACAACACTTTCCCAATAATTAAGAGTAATAAGTTATCAATGTTCAATCCCTACTGAGGGTAGTAGTCGACAACCTGAGCTTTACAATGGCTAGCTTTCCTTGACCAGCCAAGCCTAGCAATTCTACATTCCAATGCCGGATAATCATTCCCAATAACATAATGAATTTCAAGATCATAAGGCGTTTCTCACTGAATCTAGTACAAGTCCTTGGCGATTGATCGGTTGATGAGGAACAATATCTCAATATCGAACAAGCACCCAATCTATTTATCCACTTACTTGGGCTTAGAGTAATTCCCATGTAACCTGCAACTGACCTCGCTCCGAAGGTGCGAACTTGAAAACTACAGGTCTTACACCCATGACCGAACCAATTCCTAACCACCTCGAAACCATGAACACCCTCACACCTCCTGCATTCAGACCCGACATGCCTACCTTGTGGATTCCTTGAACTCTCACTTATACCACTAAATATTTGACCGCCAGCTGGTCTCCCATGCGGAATACTCATGCCTCTTCTAAATACAGCCCACGGTATGCAAAATGACATATGAAAATTCTTTGAATGATGACCTAGTCAATCATAGAGGATCCCTGAACCTTATATGGCATTATTTGAAGCTTCCCAATGTCACAACTTCAAACTCAACAAGAGCGATCCATATCCTCTGAAATATGAAGCACCCTGTACTGAACCCTATCCTGAAGAAATTGTAGAAATTCCAATATGGTTCTAACAATTCTATCATACAAAAGATTTCTGGTCCAACGATACAACACTGGACAGGAAAATACTTATTCTAGACATAAATATCATTACAAAACTGGGACTCAACATACATACCAGTGATTTCTTGCGGCTCGATCTTGACCTCGTGTGGGACGATGGGTGTTGGGGCCTGCACCCCCTCCACTAACCATGCATGACAGCTGGACTTGAAATGACCCGAATGGCGGAAATGAAAACAAATATGATCCTTCTTACAATCTCGGTGCACATGCCCTCTTTCTCCATATATTGAAACACCTTAACTTGTGACAAGAAAACATGTATGACAACCGTCAATTTTGGTCAAACAAAGTCAAACCGGGTCAACTCAACTCATATTAGAATTTAGGAGAAATGTGATATTCCCTAATGTTACTAATGTACTATTGGCAAGTTATAATTCAAAGTACCTCTCCTTTTACCAATTATTGAATATAAACCCTAATTAGGGTTAGTAACGTAAAATTCGTAATTCAATTATATATTATTTAGGTATAAATAATATTCATAACACAATGTAGTTGAGTTCATAAACCGTATACTACATGACAAATTCATAACAAAGGTTACATATTTAGATTTTTGGTGAATTCCTCACCAAATGCGACAGATTCTATACCCAACTTAAACACTCAAACTTTAACGAAAAGAATTAGGAATCATCATAACTTTCGTGTAATGTGTTATTATTTTTGATGATAATGATTTTTATAATAATTTGAATTTATATGATTCAAAATAAGTAAATATACATAATTTTTACCATGCTTTTTTATAAAAATCACCAACTTTAATAAAAACTACCTTTCTTTTTATGAAAATAAACTAAAGACCATATTTGTTTTATATGATCATTACCTTTTTTATAAAAGTATTATTATTAAATTCACATAGCCATGCTTGAATATTTAATTCAAGAGGTCATCCCATTCCCCCATACCCACCCCACCCCACCCACCCACCCCCTCACCCCTCCCATCCCTCTTATTCTTAAATTCAGCCGAAACCCTTCTCCATCCCATCTTCTTCATCTTTTTTTCTTCTCCTCCTCAAGAACATGCTTTCCCTCTTAAGATTTATCTCCATAAGTTGGTTCTTGATCTTTTGGTAAGTTTTTTCCTTACTAATCTTGTGAGTCTATACATATATATACTAGTTTTGTTACAATTACACACATTAATATGTGTTAATATCCATAGGATATTTCAATCTTCAAGTGTTCTTAGCTTGAAATCTTTCATCTTCACCTCTTTATCCACCAAGAAACACACTCAATGTGAGTTCATACCCCTCATTTTCGTTTTTATCCAAGTTTTAGGGGGGGGGGGATACAATTAAACTTGTATAATA